GGGGCGGCGGCGGCGCCGCAGTGGCACGACTGCGGCCACAAGATTCTAATACACTCCCCCCTGATCTACAAATCATCGTACTGGGTCAGAACGGCAGGGCGTCTCTCCCGCATGCCGCGGCGTAGAACTTCAGCGTACGTCACAGGGGGCACATTTTCCCCGTGGCTTTCGTGCGCACACTCTCGCAAGATAATTGGGCCAGAGTCGTCATTGTCATTGTTCGGCGGCTCAGTCTGGTCACTCTCCGGACTGGGAACGAAAGCCAGTCTCAGATCTCTCACGTGACGGGGGACATTGTCTACTTCCACACACTGCGCCGACACTTGTCGGGTGACTGTTCCTATAGAACTTGGCACATCACACCGGCGACTAGGGTCTCTGATCCATACCTTATCGCCTACATTGAACATAGCACACTCACTCTCTTCGCACTTTTCCTCACTCTCCACGTCCGGCACTCTCAGTTTGTAGTTGAACAGTACGTTGGCAGGACTAGTGTTCAGGTCATCACTGCGCGGCATCACATTATAGCGGTAGACTGCTTCCGCCACTGAGCAGCCTTTGCGCGCTACGATTGTTTTGACCGACCTATGGTTTCTCTCAGAGACACCATTGCCGAACGGCGCATGGGCAGCTCGGTACCGGACGCTGACACCCCACCGGCTGACGAACTCGTGGAATGCGGCACTGCGGAATGATGTGAAGTTGTCCGTCAGCAGCTCCCTCGGAGCGCCGCACTCCAGGAATACCGACTCCAGAGCCGTGATGATGCTGTCGGTGTCCTGTCGCTTTATCCGCCGCCAGATCGCGTACCGAGACGGACCGCAGTCAATCAGAGTCAGGTACAGCTGATCGTTTACGTGACAGACGTCCATGCTGACCATGTCCCAGCATTTAGTCACGCTCAGCGAACCATGTGTCCACCGCTGGGGCGCTGGATCGATGGACTGGCACCTTTCGCACTGGCTAACGACACTGCGCACCTGGTGCCTGCTCACAGCCGGGTCGTGCTCCCTACACAGGCGCAGCGTTCTCCCGATGCCTGGGTGTCCGCTTGTTTCATGGATCCTGACCACATCCGGCGCCGAGAAGGCAGCGCCGCAGACCTCAGGATCGCTTTGTTGGTTCAGCCACTTCTTCGGCACTCTCGTCAGTGCGTCAGCCCTGTTGTCCACTGACGGAACGCACTTCACGGTCAGCTGGAGGCCGTACTCATCTCTCAGACTCTTCACGGTCTCCAGGCGCCTTCTAATCAGCATTTCACTCGCCGCCTTCGTCTTTATCCGAGCTCTGCCGGAGAGCGCATCTGTTAGCCAGTGATAGACCGTTTTCGAGTCCGTTACGACAGTCACTTTCTTCAGGTTCCATGCCAGGGACAGATTGATGCCACGCACAACAGAGTCCAGTTCTGCAAGGTTCACGTGTGTCTCGGGATTTTTCCGAAGCCAGCAGGCGTCCTCAACGATGCTGCCTTCCATCTCCAGCACGGCTCCTATGGCGAGGGAGCTGGCATCCACCCACACGACTCCCTCATCGCCGGTGACATCCCAGCGACCTCGTGCGGGATCGGCCGTTTTCACGCGCTGCAGCGTTTCCATGACCATTTTCTGCAGTTCTGGGTCGGTGATCTCGTCATCCCAGCCGTCTGTCGCTGCAGTGGCGCGTCTTTTCAGGTAGGATGCGGAGACACGCAGCCAGCCACACACCGGGACCTGACTTGTCAGACGTCCGCACAGCGAGAAGACCTCTCTCCTCGTCAGCTTTGGCGGCGGCTGTAGATCCTGGTTGTCCCGCTTCCAGAACAGTCCTTGCCGCTCCCCCCAGACTCGAATGCCCAGGACACGAGCACCTTCTGACACCTTCTCCGGGGATTTGCAGGTCAGACCGAGCGCCTCCAGATGACCCTTCACCTCTAATGCAGTAGCGATGTTTTCATTTACGAGTATGTCGTCCACGTAAGGTGATGTCGCGGTGTGCACCCTGGGGTCACGTTTCAGGGCCATTTCCAGCACCTTTCTCATCACCATCGGTGCGAGACTGAGCCCAAAGCCAAGTCTGCTCAGACACCACCGTCTGCCCTGGAACACTACAGTCTGATACGGCCACAGCGATGCGTGCACGTGGATCTGCAGGTAAGCGTCTCGCAGATCTAGGAGAGACACGTTTCGTCCACACCGACGCCACTCACGGATTTTTTCACTGCAAACATCCGCGTCAGCTGTATGCGGGTCCAGGTGCGTATTTAACTCCCTGAAATCCATGACGGGACGCACTTTGTCCTTCTTCGGTTGGATGACCGCCATGAGCGGGATCGTGCCTTTGACCCTCCCGTGTACGCTCTCATCATAAGGGACGAGCCATTGATTCGCCACCCACTTGGAGAGTTCTCGCTCGTATTCGTGTCGGGCTTCTGTTGGAATCGCGTACTCCTCTGCTGTATTGTGCAGCTGCTCGGGCTCCTTTCCTCCACACCATTTCCACTCCACCGACCACTTCTTTTCTGTCTCATCAAAGCTCACCACAAAGTCCTTCTCGTCGGCTCGATTCACTGCTGCAGCTGCCGCCGCTGCACCTGACGCTGGGGCCGCCTCACTGCTCGCCTGATCATGACTCACCCGTGCAGTCGCTGCCACTGCACGCGAGACCCCAGTCCTCTCACCATCACAGCTGACCCGGTCACCGGGTGAGGCCACTGACGCCGCTATATGAGACACCGCTGCCTCAACTCCGAATCTGACTCGGTCATCCGAACTCACTGTAGCGCCACCCAGTGCTCTGATACCATTCATCCCGAGGATGAACTCAAACCCCAGTGGCTTACGTGCTACGACGAGCACATCTACGGACACTGATTCACCGGACCGCAGCTGCACGCGTGCCACGCCTGACCCCTCACACCAATAACGCCCTCCACTCACTGTCATCACGCTCACCGGACGTCGGTTCCACCTCCGACAAACTGACACGTGAGCTACACACTGGCTGCATCCTGTATCAACCAGCGCTTTGCAGCTCGCTCCGTCCACCGACAGCTGCGCGACTGGCAGCGCCCCGTTCACTGGTCGACAGGAGAGGAGGCTGGCGCTGATCTCTCCCCTCCCGCGTCGTTTTCCGGACATACAGAGGCGATGTGCCCCTGCCGGTTGCAGTTGTAGCACCTCACGAGGCTCCGTCCACCACGGGGGCCTCCACGGCCCCGCTGTCCGCGGCCTGCCGTGCAGTCGCGGGCGATATGGTTCGGCTGCCCGCACGAGTAGCATTTCATTGTGGCCGGGAGTGCTCCAGTCCCTGTGCCAGCGGCGGCGGCCGCGGTGTTTGTTTCCTCGTCGGCTAGCACGGCCCGAGCGCGACCGATTAGCTGGCTAAACGGCATGTCCTCCATCCGTGATCCAGCCCGGAGCGCACGGCGTGCTGAATCTGGCAGTTTGGCCACGAAGGCACAGGCCAGGCTGTCGTCCGGCATACCTCCGAACAAGCCAGCCAGCCGGCGCAGCTCAGAGACGAACACGTCCACCGTCTCACCTGGACGCAGCCTTCTACGTTCAAATTGGTCGTAGGCTTCAAACCGATCCGAAGCAAACGCCGATGTCAGGGCCCTTTTGATGTCCTCGTACTTTTTCTTCTCATCTTCTCCGAGCTGTTGATATACCGCAAACGCACCACCAGTGAGTCTCAGCGGGACGACGACGTGCAGTCCCTTGATGCCGCGCAGCTGACACACAAGTTCGACCTTGTCCAGCCACTCGCACACGGGCTGCGACACACCGTCAAACTCCGGGATTAAGCGGAGATCAGCCGCAGCGTCCGAACCATCACAGGTCTCCTTCTCGTTCCCCATCACGTCAGTCTTCCAAGGCCGAAATAGCTTGTAGTAAACTCCTTATGTCCACATTGCCGTTGTATTGCCAGCTGCCTCCGTCGCGCGCCGGCCCAGACTGGCCGGGGGTCGTACGTGACCCACCTTTTATTCAACAGGCTACGAAACGTCTAGAACACGCCCAAAACGAGTGCAAACTTGCACAGCAGCGACGAGGTGACGGAAGGCGCCAGCTTGGCGGCCTACGTGCCTTAAATGACATATCTTAAATTTACAATTGCGCTGCGCGTGCCGCCGGCCGTTTCCTCCCGGCCCCACCCCGCACAATGCCATATAACTCATCCCGAGTCTGGACGGGGCGGCGGCGGCGCCGCAGTGGCACGACTGCGGCCACAAGATTCTAATACAGACTGATTGCCCAAAACGTTTTCTTAGGCTACCAAGACAAGATTCGTTGCATACAATGTCATGCAAAGGTCAAGGTCAAGGTCAGGTCAGGTCACCAAATACGAACTATAGAAGAGGGCATGTGCGACACACGTTTTATGGGTTATTTTATTCATAGAATTCAATGGGTACACACAATTAGTGATATGGACCACATCTGGATGAATTCAGGTCGAGGCCAGGTCAAGGTCAGGTCAAGTGAGGTCAAATTTTGAAGTCATTGTTAAGACCTAAAAAGGTGTCTATCTGATGCAGTTTTTCACGGCGAATCGAATGGCGTTATTTTTGTTTCTGTATGAGGTCTAGCAGTTCTAAAAAAAAATATTTTTTTTGAAAATTTTGTGTGTCGTGACGTCAAAAAAGTTTGAATAACTCCCACATTTTTGAACCAATTCTTCTAAAAATTGGTATGTAGGTGCACATGGACCACTTCTCTAACATATATTCCGTTTTTTTCGATAAACTCAAAATTTTGGATTTTATATTTAATTTCCCAAAAAAGTCAGTTTTTTAAGTTTTGGGGCAAAATCGAAAATTTCCAAAAAGCCGAGATAGCCATTTGATAGACAAAGTAAAATCACGTGTAATCTTTTTGTGATGTCTTGATTCCTTTAAAAATAAAGATGTTAGCTGCGTTTCAAGTTTTGCAGTTTTTGAGGCGAAAATGGCGTGCCATGACGTCACTTAAACGTCATTTTCTCAAAAAATTCCGACTGATTTCGCTCAAATTTTCAGAGAAATTGTTAAAGTGATGTATCATAAGGTACTGAAAGTTTGACGTCGCTGGCGTTACACGTTTATAAATTATTGGCGAAAAACGGGAGGGGGCAGATTCTGCCTCCCCCCAGCGGAGCGCGGGTTAATTGGTGTGTGTAGCGCTAAACCGACCTACCGTTTGTTTCTGGTCGACGTGACATATATTACCCAGTAGTGAGTAATACCCACTGCTCAGAGTAATAAGCAAAATAGGTATGTAAGCGGAGGAGGTTCACTAATTCATAGTTAGGTATGAGTCAGGCTGAATTTACGTGCGTACGAATGAAAGACAACTGATTTGGCCTTGAATAGCGATAAATATGTGGTGGAGGCGGTGATGATTGTGCTTGCGTAAAAATAAAGAAATAAGAAGAATGATTCACAACATTGCACCTGAGGTCACCACCTTCATGTTCTTTATTAACCATGTGATGCACGTTTCATGCACTTTTGCCGTATTTGCATTTTAGTGTTCTTTTTATTTGCTCTTGGAATCAGGTCCAAGTTTCTCTGGGCCCAGCGTTCACTACATAGATATTCCTCGCCGAATATCATTTCCTGTCGTCGTCGTCGCCGAATAAACCATCAAAAACAGCGACCCTATTGCGGCGGTAGGGCCGCTCGCATATGAACTCTGCGATGTTGTTGCAGGCCACGTCGTGCCAGACGGAGCGGCGCCGGGTGGGCGACTTGAGCGCCGCCAGGCAGAACTCGTTGCCGAACGCGTTATCGGGCTGCCGGCGGCCGAGCGGGCCACTGGTGCCCCAGTTGGTGTAGCTGCCCGGCGTGCCGATCGTCTGCCCCGTGCGCCACTGGAACCGCCGTCCGCGCCGCGTACCCGACGTCCACACGATCGGCAGCAGACGGCCGCTGTCTGCCAACGCGGAAAATCAGTGTCAATTATTGTACTCTACAGTTAGATACACGGTCAACATAACCGCAGCATGCAGCATCACAGTGTGGGCGGTGTCAGTTTCTCGCCACTCGGCGCTGTTCCACCGTCTGACTCACCGAGCCTGTCGAGCACGCTGTTGACGGCCCGGTCTTTGCGGAAGTTCTCGATGGAGACGAGCACCAGTCCGCGGCGGGCGCACTGGTAGGCCGCCTGGCGCCACGTGTACCGCCGGCCGCGTGTGGACGGCTCCAGGAACGAAATGAACCAGCGGTAGCGCCGTCGGCGCCGACCACCTGCCGACGCGCCGCCGCACCGCGTCAGGGGACACGACCGGCTCCGGCAGTGGTGGACAGTGAGCGCTGTGCACTTGTGAGGGTAAACACGTCGCACAAAACTATGCGTCTCGTTCAACAATTGGACGCCCCAGATCGTTCATGAGAGCTAAAAATGGGAATTTTTAACCCGCGCCCTGCTTGGGGGGGTGTTTGAACACCCCCCTTGTGGTTTTTCGCGAATATCTCAAAAACGGCGGCGCGGAGCGCCGCCGTTTTTGGTACACCTTATCATACATCAATTCTACACATGTTGTGAAAATTTCAGACCAAGGTCATTCAAGGTCAGGTCACCAGGTCACTTGAAGTGACCTCACTTCATAAAAAGTTTCAATGTCTGTCATAGCTACACCGAGTGACCGATCGCTTTGAAACTTTCAGCGATTGCTAAGAGCAATAGCATGTACAAAATGTATATCTCAGAATTTTGATATCGATGACCTAAGGTCAGGTCAATTTTGCGACCTCCCCATTATAAGTCAATGGGAGAAAATTGAAAAGCGCCTCTTTTGGACGAAAGACATTATAAACACTCCCAAACACTGAATTACAAGTGGTTTAGACACACTGAACATGAAAATGGTGTCCGTGACCCCTGTTTATACCCTGAGGTCATCTTAGGTCACGAATGGTATCTAACAGTTTTTCGCAAATAACTTTTGATAGAGGCATGCTAGAGCGATGAAAACGCCTTAGATGTGTTCAGCTCGACGATACGGATCGACTGATATGCAACATGACCTTTTCCGGTCAGGTCATGACCTTGACCTGAGGTCAAATTTTAAGTTGACCTTTCAAGGTCAAGTTATAGTTCATTCGATGCGTCTTGACGAGAGGAACACGATGCCGGTAAAAGTAAGCTCGTACAAGGCTTGGGTCAAATGTTATTGCAGAAAAACTGTTTCCGAAAAAATCGGCTATTTTTGCAGTTTTTGCCCCCTGCAGGCAAAACCGTTGACGTAAGGTCAAATCTGAAAAAAATGATCAGAAAGGGCGTTAATAGGGCTATCGAATGCGCTTTTCCGCGGCGCTGTAGCTCTATTGGTTGCCGAGTTATCCCGCGCCGTGCTGGTGGCCTGAACTTTCCGCCGAGTGCTGGGGGGGGGGCGTTTTCACGCCCCCCCGTCTAACTCGGCTCCTGGGCCACGTAGCGACACGCGGTAAGCGGCAATGGAAAGAGCGTCAAAAATAAGGACGAAAACACTTCGGTCATTTTTTGGGTCAGGTCAAAGGTCAGGTCACCAGAGGTCACCAAAGGTAAAATGTTGACTATTTCAACATTTTGGAAACTGCCAACGGCTATCTCGGGAACCGATAGAGCTACAGCGCCGCAGAAAAGCGCATTCGATAGCCCTTTTACAGACCTTTCTGAGTAATGTTCTCAGATTTGACCTCAGGTCAACGGTTTAGCCTCCAGAGGGCAAAAACTCCAAAAATAGCCGTTTTTACGAAAAACGTTTTTTCGTCAATAACTTTTGACTCATAAGCGCCATGACATTACTTTTGCCAGCATCGTGTTCCTCTCGTCGAGACGCGTCGAATGAACTATTTGTTGACCTTGAAAGGTCATTTTAAAAATTTGACCTCAGGTCAAGGTCATGACCTGACCGAAAAGGGTCATGTTGCATATCAGTCGATCCGTATCGTCGAGCTGAACACATCTGACGTGTTTTCACCGCTCTAGCACGTCTCTATCAAAAGTTATAGCCAAAAAACTGCTGGCGACCGTTCATGACCTGAGATGACCTCAGGGGCACACAGAGGGGTCACAGGTGCATTTTTCCTATTCAGTGTGTCATGTTTACCTATGAACCGATGTTTGAGAGCGTTTTGAACGATATTCGTCCAAAAGAGGCGCATTTCAATTTTCTCCCATTGACTTATAATGGAGGGGTCGCAAAATTGACCTGACCTTAGGTCACAGATATCAAAAATCCGAGATATACATTTTATACATACTGTTACTCATATCAATCGCTGAAAGTTTCAAAGTGATCGTTCAGTCGGTGTAGCTACAGCGAGCCTTTGAACTTTTTCTGAGGTAAGGTCACTTGACGTGACCTGGTGACCTGACCTTGAACGGCCTAGGTCTGAAATTTTCACAACATGTGCGGAAATGATGTAGGAACACGTGTACCAAAAACGGCGGCGCTGCGCGCCGCCGTTTTTGAGATATTCGCGAAAAACCTGAGGGGGGGGGCGTAAAAACGCCCCCCCCCCAGCACGGCGCGGGTTATGCGTTGGCTTCTAGGAAATTGTCGACATTCGACCTGGAAATCGGCGAAATTTTGCCTTCAATGACCTCTGGTGACCTGACCTTTGACCTGACCAAAAAATTGACTGAAGTGATTTCCTCATTATTTTTTACGCTCTTTCGAACGCCGCCTTCCGCGTATCGCTACGTGGCCCAGGAGCCGAGTTAGAAAGGGGGGGGGTTCAAACACCCCCCCCCCAGCAGGGCGTGGAAATCCAGGACCCCCAGCCGGGCGCGGGTTAATTAAGCAAGTAAATTATCATAATGGCTAATGATGAATTAATATTTATGCAATATCAATGCATGCCCAAGTGTCACTAAGCGGTACAATTGCAGCCTGCAACTGACCTTCCGTCACCAGTTCGGAGCCGTCCTCGAGATCATTGCCGGCCAGAGAGCTGGCCAGCGGCGCGTCCAGCAGGCCGGGGTCGCCGGCGGCCAGCTCACGCAGCGCGCCCTCGTCGATGGTCACCGAGTCAGGGGTGATGGGGCCGCCGTCGGTGCTGAGGTCGAAGCCGTTCAGGCGAGAGTCGCTGCGCAGTCCGAGCGGGAGGCCGCCGTCGGCCGGCGCCAGGCTGTCCTCGACGAGGAAGCTGCCCTGCTCGCTGATGTCGGTGCTGGAGGGGTCCAGCGACAGGCCGCCGGCGCCGATCAGCGGGTTCACGTTGACGCTGGTGAGGCTGGGAGTGAGCAGGGTGTCCGTGGCCGCGCCGACCGCGCCGTCAGCGCCCAGCGGGCGGCGGTAGGGGTACTTCGGCGCCCCGTAGTGCTTCGGAGGGGGCTCATTGACGCTGTTGGCGTTGGCCAGAGCGATTACCGCGAAGAGAAGAACCGGGCGCCGCATCTGAAATGGACACACCATTTGATCGTTTCCCGAGCTCAGGACAGTCAAATCCTTCCCTTCCGGACTCGACGGGCAACTTTATCCCATACGGATAGCTCCCCGTGGAGCACCCCCGTAGCCTGAGCCGGGTCCGGTGAGCGCTTGAGGGGGGGGGGGCTGAGTGGCCTGTTAACTGGATGGGCGCAGCCTCGACTACTCATTAGGATGCCCGCCTAGATCAATGTCTCTTCCTAATTCCTATCAACCTTCCAGCTCTGAAGTGGTCTTGCTAGGCTAAAAGTGCCGACCCCCTCCCCTCGAAAAAAACACTAACAACAGCAACAACAACAACAACAACAACAACAACAGCAAATCTGAAATGGAGGGTCAGCTCGCTTAAAATGGACAGGTACTTAATCTTTCATTTTTTTCGCATAGGCAATAATTATCGCTTAATGCAGTATTCATGATGGAAAGTGATAATGCAATGCAAATGAATGCAAAATGCAAAATGAATGCGTCGAACATCGCACGGGTCCCCGACCAGGTGACATAGAATGAAAATGAAAACTGTGACTTATGTACTTTTATCACTGCAAAACCAAAGACATATATTTCTTGCGGGAAAAATCTTTAGGTAGGAATCCCAAAAACTGTTCCCGTTTCCACACATTTAAGTAAATTAATAAGCAAAATCATAGTAATATTAAGTTAACGTAACGATCGGAGAGCCGTTTACTGCAGTAGGCATTGGTAGCGCTCACCTCGCGATGTTGGTGCTGAGCTGAGAATGCCACTCGGCTGCGCCCCGGCCGACTTTATATCCGTGGTCGTCATCTCCTGCTCTGCGGTTCCGATCACATCTGCAGCGCTGTGTAACATGGTTGACCTTCACAGGAGACACAGGTGATTTGAAGAAAAAGCAGTGATACTCCGATTTACTGTAGATATAGTTGTACGGTTAGACATCGGACATTGTTTGCAGAGTCCACTTCCACTGCACCATTTATAATCTGGCGATTCAGCTTAGGGTTGTTCTATTTTTAGACATGACAGCTCACTAGCTAAGTAGCACTACCGGAGAACCAGCAATCCGCAAGCTAACGGTACGTCTTCCGCAATTAACGTTTTGACACTTGGGTCAGCGAGCGACCGGCCGCCCGCCAGTCTATCCGCCGGGCCAATGCCCTCCGTCTCTGCTAATCGCATGTCACCTCTGAGTGCTGCTAACACTGGTTTCTGCCTCTGCGGACTGTGAAGACATTCCGCGCATCGTGTCCGTGCGGAATTCGACATACACCTGGGAACCGACCGTTAGCCGATTAGGTACCATCCTAACATTTGCGATATAGTGCTAAGAGTAGGTAGGTATGTAAAAAATCATACGCATGGAGCTCTGAAGTTGTTTGTCACGTTTCATATACTAATTGCTGATACAATCTCTATTTCGTGAGAAGTATCCCATTTCTCCACATTTTCAGTCACGCTGGCCATCTGCACCCGTTCCCTTACAGGTGTGTTCATCTTGTAAGATACGACGTCAGTGCTGTTGGCTGTCTCCGTTACTAGCCAATTAAAGTAATCACGGTCAGTCATGACCCTGGCAATGGCAGGACGGTTAGCGAGCCGCACCTCTCTTAGGATCCGGCGGCAGGGGAGGTAAAGGCAGTGCTAAATGCCATCGCCAGAGTTATGTAGGGGAAGGTGGGGAAAGATGCCCAAGGGTTTGTAATACCATATACAGGGTGACACAAAAAAAACGGTCATCACCAAATTTCGAATAACTTCGGAAGTTTTATTCAGATCATCACCAAACTTCGGCCACTGTATATTATTCGAAAATGGCGTCCGGAAAGCAACAACTTGGAGTTACAACGGAAGCCGACATCATTTTCTCCACAAAATGTCACACTTCGTGCTTGAAATATGATAACTTTTTTGCTATTAATCACTTTCTTGAAGTAGTGCAAGTGGGCATCTTATCCCAGAGGGTGGGAAAGACGCCCCCTGGCATTGGGAAGATGCACCTCCTTAGTATAAGTGACATAAATGGGCATGTAAATTGCGTGAACGAATCAGTTTCCTTCTAGCCTTTGGTAGACACTTAAACACCATCATAATGCATAGGCGCGGGAACCGGGGGGGAGGCAGTGGGGGCAGCTTGTCCCCCTCCCCCAACTCTGGGGCTGGGGGGGGGGGGCGGTGCCCCCACAACTTGCAAATGTTTTCTTTTTTGTTGAAAAAGCCAAGGGATGAAAAATAGGTGGCTTAAAACCGAAAAGAAAACTAGACTTGGGGGTACGACTCTCGCGAGATTAAGCGGTAGGTTTTGCACTTTTACATTTCCGGTTACCTATATCTCAGAGACATAGGCGGCGGAACGGGGAGAGCACTGGGGCCCCGTGGCCCCCTTTGATTTTGGCATTTTAACATTAGCCCTATGGGCGTTGCATGGAAAGAATGGGACCAAAGTCGGTAGTGCCCCCTTAACCCGTGCCCCACTGGGGTCTATGTATAACATCGCCGATCATCACTGGGGTCATCACTGGGGTCTAGACATCACTGGGGTCTACTCGTATGTATATGTATAACGGGGGGGGCTATTCATAGCCCCCTCCTAACTCCGAAACTACTGGGACGATCGTCAAAATTCAAACGGCATCTGATAGCCCCGGAAAAACTGTCGAAAGAAACCTAATTTCATTGACCTCGAGGTCACCGATGACGTCACATGTCAGGTCAAAGTAAAAATTGCCGATATTTGGCTTGTTCATTTTTTGGGCTCTGGCTGCCGTCTTACAAGTCAGATCAGGCTGATTTTTGGTTTACAAACTCGTGAACAGATGCTTTAGATACCCTGAGGGTACGAAACTTGTACTTTGATTTTCAGGTCAGGGTCAGGTCATCATAGGTCACGGAAATCTTATGTCATAAGTCGGTCACGTGACACATGTTTTATGGTCCATGTAGGCCATAGATTTCTAATTCGGTGTCACCTGTGTCATTTGAGGCCATTTTCATCTGAATTTAGCCGAGGTCAGGTCACTTTCAGGTAGAAAAGGTCAAATTTCAAAGGTGAAATTTTTCAACAACAAACATGTCTACCAGATGCAGTTTGAGCTCAGGAACACGATGGTGTTATTTATATTGGTGTACGATGTCAAATTCATACGGAAAAATTGATTTTAAAAATATAAAATTGTGAACTTTTTTGCTATAATGCGTATAACTTGGCCATGTTTGAAGATATCTGGCTAAAACTTGTTAGAGTAAGTCATAAGCATGTGTTCTATCACATATATTCCGGTTTTTTCGAAAAGTCAATTTTTGTTTAAAGATAAAAATACAAATTTTGTATCTTAATTAATAGGTATATATAACTTTCAAAATTTTCAAAATTTCGAAAATTCGGGATTACAGCTTGATAGCGCAGCTCATTTTGAGTCCTCTCATGCAAAGACATTGGATCTAGCTCAAAAACTGAGCTCTTGGGAGTGATTCCCGTGGTTCAATGTTTTGCGTCGAAATCGGCCGAACATGACGTCACTCTGACGTCATTTTCGGCCGACGTATGATAGATACGAGGTTCAAATTTTGACACAAAGTGTCAAATTGATGCAGCCTAAGGTACTGAAAGTATGGCGGCGATACATAGTGATTTAGAAGTTATTGCAGAAAAACGAGAGTGGGGGCTATATGAATAGTCCCCCCCCCCCCCCCCAGTGGGGCGCGGGTTAATTGAAGGTGTTCCGCCGCTACCTACGGCTCAGAAACTAATCGATATTCGATCTACGATGAAGCCATTTTACACGATCATGGCCGGCTTGTGAACCAACAATTCGATCGCATCTTCAACACTTTAAAGCTTAACCCGCGCCGGGCCGGGGGGTGTTTGAACACCCGCCTTGCGGTTTTTCGCAGATATCTCAAAAACGGCGGCGCGGAGCGCCGCCGTTTTTGGCACACCTGTTTGTGCATCTTTTTCGCACATGTTGTGAAAATTTCAGACCCAGGTCACCTTAGGTCAGGTCACCAGGTCACGCCAAGTGAACTCACCTCAGAAAAAATAAGAATGCTCGTCATAGCTACACCGACTGAACGATTGCCTTGAAACTTTCAGCGATTTATTAGAGCAACAATATCTATAAAATGTATATCTCGGAATTTTGATATCGGTGACCTAAGGTCAGGTCAATTTTGCGGCCTCTCCATTATAAGTGAATGGGAGAAAATTGAAAAGCGTCTGTTTTGCACGAACGCTATTCTAGACACTCTCAAACATCGAGATGTAGGTAAAATAGACACACTGAACCAGAAAATGGCAACTGTGACCCCTCGTTATGTCCCCGAGGTCATCTCAGGTCACGAACAGAATCTAACAGTTTTTCGGTGATAACTTCTGATAGAGGAGTGCTAGAGCGCTGAAAACGCCTTAGATGTGTTCGGCTCGACGTTGCGGATCGATTGATATCCAACATGACCATTTCCGTTCAGGTCATGACCTTGACCTGAGGTCAAATTTTCAAGTTGACCTTTCAAGGTCAAATTATAGTTCAATCGACGCGTCTCGACGAGAGGAACACGATGCTAGCAAAAGTAATGTCATAGCTCTTTTGAGTTATTGCCGAAAAAACGTTTTTCGTTAAAACGGCTATTTTTGGAGTTTTTTCCCTCTGGAGGCTAAACTGTTGACCTGAGGTCAAATCTGAGAACATTAGTCAGAAAGGTCTGTAAAAGGGCTATCGAATGCGCTTTTTTGCGGCGCTGTAGCTCTATCGGTTCCCGAGATAGCCGTTGGCAGCACTGGCGGTCGCAGCCGCTAGCAAAAGGGGGGGCCAAAGTCACACTCGCGGGACATAACATTTATCCGTCACCGGAGGGGGGGGGGGGGCTGATCGGCTATTTTTTTACGTCCACGAGGCGCCGCGCAGTTGGCATTACTTATGCTTCGTCCATCTCATTCTTACGTGAAATATTTAAGCTCAATTTAAGGCAAAATCACCAGTTCCATTTCCCGTCCCACGGTGCTTCCACCGGTCGGGCCACTGCACCATGATGCGGATCGGTGTAGCATAGGTATTCCAGTATACCTATTAGGTATACTGGAAGGTCAGGCACGCGGATTCATGACCTTACCACTATAAAACAATTCCGAAAAGTACAGATACCTCTTGCTTTGAACAAGCATGTGAAACCCAGAGAGCATTTTCAGACTATGACATTTACCCATATAGGTACCTAGTTGTGTGGCGGCGGGAGAGCGTAGGTACACCGACCTCTGGAGACCCCCACAGGTTCCGAGCTTTCAAAATTGGCATCTGAGGGCCGCGCGTGACTCCGCGGGGCTTCGCAACGGCTCTATTGGGGCTCACTCAACCTGCCTAGTCCTACTGCTAAAAAGACTGGCCCTGAGCCCTAAGGACTTCATCAGTCTCTGCCAGCCCCAGGACCCACACCGGCTCATGGGGTCCCGACGTCGAAATATGAGGGAATCTGCGCAGGACCATCAGGACGTAAAGTAATCTCGATCAGGACCAACGTAAGGCTGTGCCGGAGACTGCGTGAGCCCTCTGATCTTCAGAAACCCTCCCATGTATGTTTTCACGTAGAGGCCAGTTTTAGGCCCTAAGAGACCAGTACAGGGCCTGCAAACTACAAAGGCCAGTAGTTTGAGACCATCAGAGACCGAGTTGGGCTCTCAGAGGCTAATGTGGGTCCTTACTCATTACAGGCCAACATGGGCCCTCAGAGGTCAGCGTGGGGCCCTAAAAGACCGGCATGAGCCGTCGTTGGACCCCAGAGGCCAGCAGAGGGCCCTCAAAGGCCAAGATGGGCCCTCCTCAGAGGCCAATGCAGGCCCTTAGAGGCCGGCATCGGGTCTTCAGCAGCCAGTGCGGGGCCCTCATTGGCACCTAAAGGTTCGTCTTGGAACACCAGAGACAGAAATAAGGCCACCAGAGACCGGTGTGAGACCCTCAGACGCCGGTTGGGGCCCCTGAGGCCGGTTAGGGCCCCTCATAGACCAGATGTGGGGCCTCAGAGGTTGATGTAGGCTCTTAGCGGTCAACGTGGGCGCTTGAACGCCACTGAAGTTCCCTCAGAGGTCAGTGTAAGACGCTCAAAGACCGGTGTGGGAGCTATATTAATAGCTGGGCGTGGGTTTTTTGAGCCTCGTGACGATCGAATAATTGCCAGGGCCCCATACACCTATATGGGGGCCCATTGGCTGTTAGCCCCCCCCCCCCCGCGACCGCCACTGTGTACACATCACACACATGCCTCTGAGATTACATACTAGCTCACGCAAACTCTATGCAGGCCCCGGAGGTCCCACGCCAATCCCACGAAACCAAGCCGGCATACGGCGTCACCACCGGGCTTCTGAGGTGCACAGCACCAACCCATGAGGTCTTACTTTAGTGTCTTAGAGCCAATCTCCTTTAGCAGGGCCCACCCGCCACTGCCGAAGAGGGTCTCATGCCAGCCATTGCTGGGCCTACGAGAGCCTCAAGTAAATCCACGCTGATATTCCGTGTAAGATCCGGCCATACTCGTGAACCGGTGCCAGCGACGCTGACCGCCAAATTGACAGAATGCGAAACTGAGCCCACTCATGAGTGAAATTTACGTTCTTTGATGGTGCAAGAAAGAAAATGAAACATACGAAAAGATTTTCTAGGACTTTTGTTCGATCTGAAAGGTGGGGCCAAAAGATAGTATGGCCCCACCTTTCAGCACCAAAGGGGGGGCCATGGCCCCCGTGGCCCCCCCTGGGACCGCCTATGGTTGGCAGTTTCCAAAATGTTGAAATAGTCAACATTTTACCTTTGGTGACCTCTGGTGATCTGACCTTTGACCTGACCCAAAAAATGACCGAGTGTTTTCGTCCTTATTTTTGACGTTCTTGCGATTGCCGCTTACCGCGTGTCGCTACGTGGCCCAGGAGCCGAGTTAGAAGGGGGGGGGGTGTTCAAACACCCCCCGCGGCCCGGCGCGGAATCTCAGAGCACCGGCCCGGCGCGGGTTAAGACGACGAAGATATGCCTGAAGTACACTAAATTTTCTAGGTGCAAAACCTTACTCGTATACCGCTAAAACCCGCAAGACCTGTACCTTAGATTGATCCCTATTATGGTGTGCCCCCCCCCCCCGTCTGAAAGTAGTTCCCGTGCCCCTTTGTAGGGGAGAGTGGGGCACATTCGTTCATGGTGCACATTCGTTTTCAGCAGTTTATGGGAACACGAGTCGTGTATACACGAGCTCAAGGTAAATTATGGAAATATGTCTATCATTGCCGCCCTTTGTTCACCGTAGAAGACAACACTGTAGGGGAAGGTGGGGTAAGACGGACCAGCTAAGGTTTGAGGCCGCATATCTTGCTACACTGCTCTCGTAATTCCTATTATTTATAGTCTTCGGAATGCTCAATCCTTCCTCTGTTGATATGTGTAAAGACTAATATCAAATTAAAGACATCTAGGTGGTGGATGCTCTTAAAGAGGGACATGTCAAAAACTGACAAGAAAAAACGTGGGGTAAGACGGACCACTCAGCAGTGCCTGCTATCCGTTCATATGTGTTACACTTCTGCTCTGTACTCTTGTAAGAAAAAGTAACCAGAATGGTAAAATAACAAAATGAGCCTTTATTCTTTACTCATGTGTGATGGAAGTGCAGCTAAAAGCTAAGAACATGTGTGTTGATTGTCGTTTGGCATGAATGCATGCTAACTGAGCACTTGCATGCATGGCTGAGGCTCACATGCAACAAAGACTCCTTCCTGAAAAATTAGCTTACTTAAACTTGTGTCAATGTTTTGGAAAAGAACTTTCCATATGCAGGGTAGAATGGACCACCACAGGGTAAGATGGACCACAGTGGTCCGTCTTGCCCCAAATCTAAATTCTGTCATTATCATGACGTATATGTCAAATAGCCCAACATTGCAAAACCTTGCCTTTCCTAAAGTGTGACTATAACTAAGTTTATAACTTTGTTCTTCACAGTTAAGTGCAAAATAGAAACTAATCATGCAAGAAAGGCGCCGTAATTGTATCACCCGTAGACCTCTTATATTAGATCAATTTGACGAAAAACAACATTTTTCTCAATAACTCAATTAAAGCTATGCATCCTAGCAGCATGAGCTCAAGGTGGCCATTGTTACGAAGGAAAACAAACAAAGTGAGTGCATAAAGCAGTAGATACCAGCAGCGGTTGAGCTGGAAGGGCTGGTGGCCCGTCTTGCCCCGCTGGGCCGTCTTACCCCACCTTCCCTGCTGTCATGCTTGATAAAACGCACATTTGTAATTTAGTGAGCCTTCCAAACTTATATCATCCATTTTCGTGATCCTGACTCGGAAATGTGGTTCAGCTTTTCAAAATTGGGGGCGAAGATTCTCTCACTCTATTCACGGAACTGCTGCAAACCTGTTTGTTGACAGTCATTTTTTCAACAAAAAAAAAATGAAATATATTACAAATAACGTTGTGGGGCAGGGCAGGTTCGTGTACGCACTGCCTGGGGGCACATTCGTGTATATTTTTTTTTTTAGTTTTTGCGATTTTTGACTTTATCTGTAGCAGGGCACTAAAGAGATCTGTAGTAGGTTTCACTAATGACGCTCGCCTGACTCAGTCTCGGCCATGCTTGCGACGTCGTGACGAGTAATTCACGCGAACTTGGCGAGGTCACGGAGGCCGGCAGTTGGCACATTCTTGTTGGCTAGCCCACTCTTTCTACATATGTTGTGCAATGCATTCTTATCGAAAGGAATCAAGTGAAATGACCCCCTGCCAATTTCCTTTGGTAAATTTCTGGTAATGCCCGGTAATTTCTCGAACTTTGCAGGGTGCACGGAAGAGCCCCATCCCTTGCACGAATGTGCCCCGTAGGTGGGGCAGTTTCGTGCAAACGTTCAGAGTTATTAAAAGTCATTTTTTCTAATAGAAGCAATAATTTTAGAGGATAACTTTCAAGAGGAAAATATCTGCAATAGTTCCTTTCCATACTACAATCAACAACTTTGCCGTTGCACTAGCCAAAGAACAGATATATGGATTTATCCATTTTTTGCACGAATGTGCCCCACTCTCCCCATACACGGTGACAAAGTTGCAAAAAAGTGATTTGAGGTTGGGTCATTCGAAGTAACCTGGTGACCTGACCTTCAAAGGTAGGAGGTTCAAACTTACACACCATGTGGAAAATTAACGAGAGAAAAGTCGTGCTAAATTTCGGGGCGCTACGCGCTGCAGTTTTCCCGCTATTCACAAAAAAATATCAAGGGGCGGGTAACCGCCCCCCCCCCGTCGTTGCACGGGTCTTATGGTCTTCATGAGGCTTGAGGGCCCTCAATACCATCGTGGGGAGTCGGGGACATAAGTGCAGCGCGGCCCATGGAGCCAGCGTGGGAGGCCCCATCAAGGGATGCTGTGAGGGGTCTTGGAGTCATTAATGGGGCCCATAGAGGCCGTCGTGAGGGCTCTCAGAGTCAGATGCTACCCAAAAAGTCGATGTATGGGCCGAGAGACCGGCATGGGGAGCACCTGACCGTATTGCATTCTCGATAATCCCAAATAGCCTTTTGTCTCTCATCACAAGTAGGTATGCACTAAATGGTTCGACAGGTTCCTTGAAGGGCAGCCTACGGATTTAGGGAGGCGTCTTTCCCGATCAGACCAGGGGGCTTTTTCCCCAAGGTGCCCAATTAGCAATTAATTAGTACAATTTGTTAGCACTTTTCCAGATAGCCATTTTGTTTGTCATGCCTTTTTATACGTACGGTCAAATTTTTGAGTCGCTAAGTTGAAACTCTGATTTTCTGCGATTTTTCTCCGTAATCAACTTTTTCGTCGAAAAATCGCCGAACATGACCTCAGTTTGACCTCTATAGCTCGTGACCTGAGATGACCTGGGACCTAATTTTTTCAGAAGTTGTGTAAAATTGACTGTCTGGAGAGATACTGAAAGTTTCAAGTCGAAATTCGCACTGCAGCTGTTTTTGAGTTATCTGCGAAAAACCACAGGGGAGCACTTTGCCCCCCCCCCCCCCACCCCACAAGGGTCGCGGGAAACGACTTAACCCTCGCCAGGTGAGGGCCTTTTTCATAACGCGGACAGCGAAGGGCCGGTGGTATGACCCCCCTATTGGCTCCTACGGCACTTGAAACGCCAAAGTTACAGGGTAGGTGACAGGGTAGGTGGACCCGTAGGAGATCTCGCGGCTCGCCTCTGTGCAAATTTGGTTGCTCTAGGTCAAATTTAGGGTTTGGGGGGGGGGCATAAATGCAAGGGTTTCGCGAAAACATGTCAAACGTTTTTCGCTTACCTACATCTTTTTATCTAGTAAAAATAGAGCAAAAATAAAAACACTAGTGAACTCACGACGTCCGTGCACATCGAATGATAAAGGTACCTACTTTGATACCAATTTAATTAAGCTAACTTAAAATTTGCTTAGAATTAAATGAATTTTAAGCATTTAATTAAGTTCAAGTTAATTAAAGTGCATCATATCCCATAGCATTCGAATCGCCTGATCGCAGGGAACGCAATGACACCATTTTTGAAGCATAGCCTCATTGTGTGCTAAGTTAGTAGCAGAAACGTAATTTGACCTTAGTTGACCTCAGTTGACCCGACCCTAGCCTTCTTGCAGCAAGCTGAAGGCTGCTAACAGCTTGCAATTTTTCATCTTTTTTTTTAGGTCAAAATTAAAAAAAAAATCGAGATGACAGTTTAGTAGCCCTGGTAATTCTACACCTTTTATGTCTTAAACGTTTTTCTTTTCCCGCGGAACCTTTCTTGGGTCGAAAATGGCAGAACATGACGTCACTCTGACGTAATTTGCGGCCAGTCTATCATAGCCTTTAGAAGAAGAAAAAATTGGTCACAATGTGTAAAATTGATGCCCGGGAGGGTACTGAATGTTTGATGACGATCGGCGCAGCGGCTCTAGAGCTGCCTAATATCGAAAAGCTTGGAGAGTGGAGGGGGGGGGGGGCAAAATAGCCACCCACCGCGGGATAAATGGTAAACCCGTAGAAATAGGTGCTGTGGTTTTCCTGAGTTTTTTTTGCGAAAGGTCAAGTTGAAATTTGTCCTCTGGCCAAGGGATGGCCTCATCCCACCCCCCCCCCCAAAAATGCATCACTTATCGCGCCGGAGCAAGGCACACATGAGGAATGAGGATGCACAGTAGCAGCTCTGCGAACATTTTTAGTGTCTAGTGAAGCTAAATGCCAAAAGTCAAGGGTCAATTGACCTGACCCGAGGGTCACTTGACCTGACCTAAGAGTTCACCGGTTGGCTGGCCACAGGTTTTGTGGCCAGTTAACCCTATTCCTGGCGGGGGGGCCTCAGGAGCCCCCCCCCCCCCTGAGGTTTTTTGGTTATTTCTCCCAAACGCGTTGAGCTAGGAAGCTCAAATTTTCTGACTTTTTCTAAAAGGCTTCTACGCAACATGTCTGAAAATTTTGAGTTGATCTGACCTCAGGTCAGGTCACCAGAGGCGGTTTGGTGACCCTACCTCAGAAAAGTTTGCAATCACGCCAGAGCTAGAGTTTTTGACCGATCAATTTCTTCTCTTCAGGCTTTAGTTAGGGTACCAGTATGTGCGATTTGTATATCTCGGAATTTTGATATCGGTGACCTAAGGTCAGGTCAGTTTCGCGACCTCCCCATTATAAGTCAATGGGGGAAAAATCAACTCCCTGTTTTTACCACTAAAACGGGTCGGAATGGCCCCATATACCATACATGACTTCATATACGATCAACCTTCACTACCTTGAGGTCTGTTTTGCTGTTGGGCAGCTGTGAGGTCATGTGACGTCATCAAAGGTCACCAAAGGTTTTTGGCCAATAACTCCGTACAGGAACAAGATACAGACGCGTGGATGGTCTCATTGTGTTCAGCTCGTCAAGACGCATCGAATGAAATACATGATGACCTCGAGGTCACGTGACCTGAGGTCAACCTTTGACCTTGACCTTTCGAGGTCAACATATATGTCATTCGATGCGGATTGACGAGAGGATCACGATGATGCCCATAGTTTGTTACTATCTTGACTAATTCGAAAGTTATTCGAGAAAAACTCTCTCCATATCTAGCGCCGCCATTTTGACTTTTTCGACCCCTGTGACGTCATCTTTGACCTGACCTGAAAATGACCTTAGTAAAAATTGTAGATCTTGACCGTGCGTATCCGATGCCGTTTACCGTTTGTCGCTGCGATGTGTAGTTTTTGAGATCTAAAGGGGGGCCGAATCGGCCCCCTCCCCGCCAGTTTCTTGTCCCGGCGGAGCCCGCCAGGAATAGGGTTAACCCTCGCCGGCCGAGGGGGGGGGCGGGTGCCGCCCCCCCCCCCATAGGGTTTTTTTCGCGATAGCTCCGAACACGCTGGCGATAGAGAGCTGAAACTTGGCATACCTGACCTTTGATCCAAGCCGCATCTTTTGACACCAACCGCATTTTTGGGTCAGGTCAGGTCACTGACCTATGACGTCATAAGTGAACCTCTTCACGGTCTTCAGATGTCGCAACTTCGCAACGCCCTCACTGCCAGAGGAGATGTCACAGGGAAATGAAACTTGCAGGATCTAGTATCCATTATGAGTCCCACAAATTGTATATCTCGGATTTTTCCTAAAGGTCATATGAGGTCAGGTCATTTTCGTGACCTCACCATTATAAGTCAATGGGGAAAAATGAAAACTGCTATTCTGGCGCCGGGAACGATCTCCAACTATCTCAAGCACACAGAATCGTGATTTTATGCACTCCTTGCAAGGTTAGATGCGTCACTTTTGCAATGTTGACCTTGCGTGACGTCATTTATGACGTCATCAAGGTCATATTAGTTTTTCGTCAATAACTCTTGATCAAATTGAGCTAGCGAGTCGGGAAAGCCACCAATGGACTCAGGAAGACCTGCCGAATCGAATGATATGCGACATGACCTCTTTCGACCAACTTCGTGACCTGGGGGTGCTGACCTGACCTTGACCTGAGGTCAACACCCCAAGTTGACCTGACCCGGACAAAAAGTATATCATTCGACGCGCCTGAGCGAGACGAACACGATGCTGCCAAAATCGGCGCTCTGCGGCCGTTTTTTGCGAAGTTATTCACCAAAAACTGAACCGTACCTTGGGGCACTTGACCTGACCTCAGAGGTCACCGGTTGACCTAGGACCTTAAAATCGGGTACCAATCTCTGCGTCTCGTAACGGCGCACACGCTCGTTTTTTCCGCGACGCGCTAGCTCCACCAGGGGCGAAACGGCGAGGGGGGGTCGTACCCGCCCCCCCCCCCTCGGCCGGCGCGTATGTAGAAAACCAATAGGTCCGGCGAGGGTTAAAACGGGCGCTGGCGCTGCGAATCGTGACGCCGACGGCGCACAGTTTCCGGGCGAAGCTCTAGCTCAGCTAGCTGATGTAGGGGCGAATTATTGAGAGAGAGGGTCCACATCCCCCTTCCCATCCCCCAACCCCTGGACCGGGAGGATATGCAGAAAACCAATTGATCCGGCGAGGTAGAGGGAAAATTATCCAGAAGATGAAAACATTGAAAGGTATGAAGTAGTTTTGTTGCCGCAGCTACCAAATTTAGTCATCCATTGCGCTATTGAGACGTCTGCAAAATGCGATTAATGTTCGTTTTTATCAAAATTTAGCAAGTGTAGCGTAAATTACGAAAAATAGCGAATCATCGACAAGTATTGGCTAATTCACGCTGTGCATTATTTACAAAGAATAATACTATACCTTCTCTCTTTTATTGACAATCATTGACAATGTGATCAATGTGACAATGTGATCTTGATGTGAATGGCGTTGATCATTATTCCGGGATTGTTTGGAGCTGGTTACTTGTTAGTGTTATTCAATATTTGTGTAGATGGTTTGAAACATTTCTCTAGCTTGATTATGATTATGGTTGTTAAGAAGGAATAAGAAGCTTTTGGTCATTACAAAATGGGTATTAGTAGAGCAGAGCAGACGTCCACACGAAGGTTTTCCAACCAAGGAGAGGCGCCATACCCGGCGCCCGGTGGTGCTTCTTTCTAGGAAAACCTAAACAAACCTAACCTTACCTGACCCAACCTAACCTACAACCTACAAACCTACAAACCCACCCTACAACCTACAAAACCTACAGCGCCTCCTCGGTTGGAAAACCTTCGTGTGACGTCTAATGCCACAAAATGATGCTGAAAAATCTAGACCTTTTTTGGTGGAATCAGTGATTATTCAGTGAGTTCTCTGAAGTCTGAAGAAGGTCCAGAACCATGAAAATATTGTTAAGCTTCCTTTAGTTTCAATGAAAAGCTCATTATTCATTGTCAACAAGTAGGTAGGTACCTATAATATATATATATATATATATATATATATATATATATATATATATATATATATATATATATATATATATATATATATATATATATATATATATATATATATATATATATATATATATATATAGGTACCTATCCGCAAAGGCATATTATTGATGCCTAGTTGCCTCACAACTTGTCACCCTCTATTGTATCTTGATGTGATAATGCTTAATGAATTTTGAATTTTCAGAATTCTTAGCAGCTTTGGTTGTATTTTGGGCATTCTGGTAATTGCATAAAGCAGCTTGTAAATGATAGCTTGGTGCGTATATTTGAGGCTGAGGTTTGTTTTATCTAAATAAAATGTGTGTAATGATCTTCCTTAATTTCAGTGATAATGGTGGGGGCACCATCAAGTCCGTTTATCATGCATGTTTGGAGACTGTACAGAGTCCAACAACTATCTATCAGAACATTAAACCCACTCTTATCTCGGAATGGTGTGCCAACAAGTCATGTTCAGCGCATGTGGCTGAATACACCCAGAGAGCAGCCCAAAGAGCTGACACCTGAAAATGACAAGAGAATAATATACAACTGCATGCTGACAAGACTGTCAAAATATGAGGCTCAGCAGCTCCATAGAAGGATGCAAAGAGCCAGGTGGGAAAAGCAGCAGCCAGAGTCCAGCTTGCCTGCCTCCGTTTTCCTCAGTATATCCAGCAGTGGCTCAGTGGACACCTCAGACTCGGCCGCCCAGTCGGGATCTGAATCCCTGTCGCCGGCGGAGGTCACGTTTCCATACGCCTCGCCGACCCCCGTGCAGTTCACGGACGCGCCGCGGGACCGGGAGCCCGCGGACGAGCCGCTGCCGGCCAACACGCGGCTGCAGCAGTCGGTGCGCGAGCGGGTGCGGCTGCTGCGCGAGCAGGCCGTGCGCGAGGAGGCGGCCGCGGCCGACGGCGCCGACCAGGACGAGCTGTGGGTGCTGCGCTACGGCCGGCCGGACCCGTCCGTGCCCGTGAGCCGGTCCGTGTGCGGCGGCTGCGGCGCCCACCTGCACTGCCAGGAGCCCGCCTGGCCCGGCTACCTGCCGGCCGAGGTGCTGCGCGCGGCGCCCGAGCGCGAGCTGCGCGACCTGGTCTGCCAGCGCTGCTACTTCCTGCGCTTCCACCAGACGGCTGTGAACGTGACGGTGCCGGCGGCCGACTACTCTCTGCTGATGCGCCGCATGGGCGACTGGCCGGCGCTGCTCGTGCTGGTGGTGGACCTGCTGGACTTCCCCTGCAGCGTGTGGTCCGGCATCGGACAGCTGGTCGGTGAGTAACCGCTGGGTGTCACGAGCACTGGGTACGACAGTGAGTGGCGACAGGGGTGGTACAGCCTGGATACTGGGAGATGGGAGTACTGGGTACTGGGAACCGGCACTGAATGCAGTGTTACCTGCTGTATCTTGCTGCATCGCTCAGGTAACGTGTCGCGCAGTCCCCTGCTCCGCGGGCCGCATCTGCCCACCGCAGTGATCCCCTCCCCGCCCACCCGCTCGTCAGGTCGGTCTCGGCCGGTGATCATCGTCGGCAACAAGGTGGACCTGCTGCCCCAGGACAGCGACGGCTACCTGGCGCGCGTGACCGCCTCGCTCAGCGCCGCCCTGGAGCGCTGCGGCGTCGACCGGCTCAACGTGAAGCACACGTGCCTGGTCAGCGCGCGCACCGGATACGGCATCGAGGAGCTGGTCACCGTCATACAGACCCACTGGGCCGCTCAGGGTAAATAGAGGGAGGAAAGGGGTGATAGTGGGCAGTGGTCACCGTCATATAGACCCACTGGGCCGCTCAGGGTAAATAGAGGGAGGGAAGGGGTGGTAGTGGGCAGTGGTCACCGTCATACAGACCCACTGGGCCGCTCAGGGTAAATAGAGGGAGGAAATGGGTGATAGTGGGCAGTGGTCACCGTCATACAGACCCACTGGGCCGCTCAGGGTAAATAGAGGGAGGAAAGGGGTGATAGTGGGCAGTGGTCACCGTCATACAGACCCACTGGGCCGCTCAGGGTAAATAGAGGGAGGGAAGGGGTGGCAGTGGCAGTGGTCACCGTCATACAGACCCACTGGGCCGCTCAGGGTAAATAGAGGGAGGGAAGGGGTGATAGTGGGCAGTGGTCACCGTCATACAGACCCACTGGGCCGCTCAGGGTAAACCCCGAGGGAGGGAAGGGGTGGCGGTGGCAGTGGTCACCGTCATACAGACCCACTGGGCCGCTCAGGGTAAATAGAGGGAGGGAAGGGGTGATAGTGGGCAGTGGTCACCGTCATACAGACTCACTGGGCCGCTCAGGGTAAATAGAGGGAAGGGAAGGGGTGTTGGTGGCAGTACAGACCCACTGGGCTGCTCAGGGTAAATAGAGGGAGGAAAGGGGTGGTAGTGGGCAGTGGTCACCGTCATACAGACTCACTGGGCCGCTCAGGGTGAACCTTTAGGAATGGGTGGGTGGGACGGCAGTGGCAGTGGCAGTGGGGTGGAGAGGTGGTGTTTGGAAATCATCTTTTGCATGGGCTTGATTCTGACATATGACATGGTTTTATTTCTGTTTCGTTTTTGTTTGCTCTGTGTTGAAAAATTTGTTGTTATTTCTGTGTGTTGTATTCAGCATCGCTTTGTGTTTCTTGCGCCGCATCCTCGTGCGTTATGAGTACGAGTAGCGGTGTGGTGATCCGGGAAATAACTACGCTCTGCGTCTCCGCCCAGGCGACGTGTACCTGATGGGCTGCACCAATGTCGGCAAGTCGACTCTGTTTAATGCGCTGCTGCAGTCGGATCTGTGCAAGTCGACGGCGCACGACCTGATCCGGCGGGCGACCACCTCGCGGTGGCCGGGCACCACCCTCAACCTGCTGAAGGTGGGTAAACCTCTATCTGCTGAGGGTGAACACTGAACATAGCGCCTCCCTGGGGCAGGGCACTACCCTCAGCCTGCTGAAGGCGGGCAGATCACCTCCTGACTCGGAGGGAGGGCAGGGGGCACTCCGGCCGGACGATGCAGCGTTGGAACTGTTCGTTTACTCACTAGGTCCCGACTGGGCCCCAGTACAATTTTTTCGACTCTGATATCTTTCTAAAATGCAAGATGCTATCCATAATTCATGCTTGCTGTTTACATGGTATTCCTGCCGTAGCGCCCTTTATACACACGGTACTGTCTGTCTGCCGTCCAGTTTCCAATGATGCGACCTCAGGAGTTTCACCTGCAAAAGCGCCGCCAGCGGCTGCAGCGCGAGAAAAACTGGGCGGCAGAGGAGCAGCGCCTGCGCCACTCGCAGCTGATGGAAACCAAACAGCCCCGATACGCCATGCTCACAGGTGGGCGGAACAAACACTCGACAATAATTGGGAATAGTGGGTGTGTGGTGGGTGGACACGGTGGAGCGGTGGAGAGTCTGCTGCCCACTGTTGGTGGTAAGTGCGTGTCTTCGGCTCTACCATCAATCCCACCTGACCTCGCCCAGTACTGGCGTTTTTTTCAGCTATGGGTTCGTTCTATCATGTTCAGCAAGAAACTCGTTTCTTTATGTCTCGGTTCCACATCACGCTGCAGGCCTGGATATAGCTGGTGACTTTACCTCACTCGTGCCCCGTCGCCAGGTCACATCGGTCGCACGTTCCGCGGCGAGCGCGCCCGGGACGGCGAGGCGGCAGTGCTGGGCGCCGCGCCGGAGCCGGAGCCGGAGCGGATCGGCGGGGTGGCCGCCGACGACCCGCGCTTCCCGACCGGCCGCTGGGTGTACGACACGCCCGGCTTCGTCAGCGCCGACCAGCTGCTGGGCCAGCTGACGCAGCAGGAGCTGCTGCTGACGCTGGGCCGGCAGCTGCTGCGGCCGCGCACCTTCTCACTGGCGCCCGGACAGTCTCTGTTTGTGGCCGGCCTGGCGCGCCTCGACTACCGCGCGGGACCCAGCAACGCCAGGTCCGTCGGAACGGGAAGCGGAGGAGCAGGGAGCAGCTGCTGTGGGGTGGGGGTGACACAATCAGGGCGCGCTTTATCTTATTAGCATGCTAGCTCTGCGTAAGATTTAGCTCTGAGAGCTAAATCTCTCACATTCGCGTCCACAATATTCGAAAGTAGTCTGAGGAGCTAACAGACCCTTTTCTCACTTCTTCGGCACCAGCTTAATCTCTAGTTTTAACACATCTCCCTCGCGTGTCCCTCAGGCTGACAGTGTTCGCCTCGGGCGACCTGCCGGTGACGGTGACGGCCACAGAGGACGCTGCTGCCATCTATCGGGAATACCTGCAGTCGGGGTTGTTCGTGGTGCCGTGCGGCGGCGCTGACCGCTTCTCGCGCTGGCCGGAGCTGGAGCCGCGGGAGCTGACCGTGACAGGAGGTTCTCTGACAGAGAGCGCTGCCGATATCGTCCTCTCCTCGGCCGGTGGGTGCTGGGTGGCTCGACCGGGTGGATAGTCTGGTGGGAGGATCGAGACGCGTCGGGGTACAACGATCTCAATTATTAGCAACTCATCACGTTCTGTATTAACGTCTCACATCTTAAAACGGTACTGTTACATACCTAATGCCTATGTTTGCAAATTTGTTGAAGCGGCGAGACGCATTCAAGTTAACAATTCAATCAGTTAGCCAATCTTGAATGGAAATCTTGAGCGAAACCACGGTTTTTGAACTCTTGAACAAACGACGCCAGATCCCGGGGTGGACAAGGATATGCAGGAGATATTACAACAAAAATTACCCGACGTTTCGTTTATTATAACTTTTTCAAGGGTAATGAAAAGACACACATTTATCTACGAGAACATGGGATGTGTAACAGCGCGGGCAATTCTTCGTAGTAACACTTCCTGTCTGCAAACAGGTCACAAAGAAACAATTCACAAATCATAATCTCTCCTGACTAAAGATCAGTCCCACGCACAAGGGAGAAAAGCTCAAATTATTGAGCGCTCAAAAAATTGAGCGGGCCCCATTATGAAGGAATAGGCGAAACGATGGTATTTTACAATGCCTTTAGCGTCACACTACGGCAAATATCGTATCCAAATAAGGTATCAATGGCAAGAGAGAGCAACAAGGTTTCTTCTCGAACACTCGCCGTGATAATTTATATCGGTGTTTTTGGAAAGAAAATGCCCTAAAGACGCTCAACTTTTTGAGCGCCACTTGTCGTTCGGGACCGCGATACTCAATAAATTGAGCGCCACGACAGACGACAGTCAGCTGGCGCTCAAAAACTTGAGTGCCGGCCAGCATCTACACTCAATTAATTGAGCGTTCTCCGTGACAGGTGAAGCCGGTCCTGGCTGCCATTTTTGATGTTATGTTCGTTGAAATACGTTAAACTGAGTTGAAACAGAAATGCAGGAAGTTGAATGCTACGTGGTGCCTAAACTTTTCACAAACCCATGGCATCGTGTCACATTTTCCGCTAGTAGTTTTATCGGTCGCCTTTCGGATTCGGCACACCTCAAATAATTATACAGGGCTTGAATAATCCGTATGAATACTGTATTGATATTCTCTGACTGTACTGGGAGAAGGGAATACGTGAACCCAGAAAGATATCCACCCACGCTTGAATATTGGAGAATTATAGCAGGAAAAACTGTATTGCCACGGTTACAACTTACAAGGCCATCGGCCGCAAACAAACAAAAATACTATACAATGTGGGTTAGATTCACAAACATCATCAAGTGTGGAACACAGAGACGAGCAAAACAACATCACATTATCGCATGCCAGCCCGACCACATTGGAACCGGGTGACCTGCGACCGGAACCTGCGTCTTGCCAGCATACATCACAAAAGCAGGAGGCAGTGTCGTACTGCTTTGATCCAAAATATGCCATATAACAAATGATATAAACGACCTAAGCTCGGACTAAGCTAATCATTATCAAATCCTTAACATGTAAACAAACTTAACATGTTAAAGGGACTATCCCACCTTCTAAAATGTTGTTAAAACCAGTTAAATTGTGCCCGACTTTATAGATTGGATGACCAGGAACACGGTTCTGGCATTTATTTTTCATTTAACATCTTAGGCTTCTCATATTCCAAACACAAACTTTCAAATATGTGACGTCACAGCCCAAAATTACCTCCTTCCTCAGGCCACATTACTGTCATAAAGCTGATTCTTTTTACTCTGTAGGCACCACAACAAAGTTTAGACCAAGTTTTAAGCGATTTTTCAACGAACAAACCCATTTAAATCAGAATGACTAAACGAGGTGACGTCACACTAACGGTCGCTCCGTATTGAAGATAGGGCCTTGTACAAGGCCCATTTTCAAATGAAGGGAACGAATTTCTTCAACACCAAGAGGCCGCGGGGGTTGCAACCTAGATAAATAGTGGTTTCTGAACCTCGCCGCAAACTTGGCTATCTCAACTTAAACCCCATGTTAAAGGTGGGATAGTCCCTTTAACATGTAAAAGACGAATGGAAACATCGAGTCTCAGACCAGCAGTAGCAACCATCACAGTAGCAACATCACAAAGAACACGCGGCATTATCAGACAGCCGTTTTGTTATCGGGCTTCAGGCGGCGACGGCGTGGTTGCAGACCAGCTGCGAGGTAGCGGCGTGCGGGCAAAAGGCGCGGGCACACCTCCATGTGGCCTTGCGGACAGTGCGCGGTCGGCGTCGCATAATGGGCGGCATCGGGCTGTCCCGGGGCCCTCGAAGCCGCACAGGTTGTCGGCGCATGTGGGCGCGCGCGGTCACCACGGCCAGCTGCTCACCGCCAGCACAGACTGCGCAGCGTCGCCGCTCCGCCGCGCCGGCCAGAACACGCAGACAACCCTTCTTGCAGTCGCACAACACGTCGCCAAACTCATTCACCTGCTCCACCATGTTGTTGATGTCACCGAGTCGTTCAAGTTGTGGCTCGTGCCGTCGAGCATGACCTGCCCGATCGGACACGGGTCAGCGGCTTCTGCTCCAGCGAAGTCTTCATCTTGGTGACGTCTTGCTGAGCTCCACAAAGGCTGAGCAGATGACCTTACCCACAGGGACGGCCGACGTCCTCGCCAGCGACCGCTTGGTTGTGCAGACCTGCCAGAAAAAGAAAAGCTGTTTGGTGATCTCAAACGATTTTTTTTCTTTATGCAGTGGAACAAAATGGAAAATATGTCATAAAACAGGAACTAAAAAAGATGCAGCCTAGGTCGTCTAAGAAATGGGTGCAACATTGATAAAATTCTTCATTGAATGAATTCTGCAAATGCTTTTGATAAAATGTGTGGTGATTATAAGGAGACCACTTTACTATAAAATTGCTCGGGATTCCCTATCTGGACTGGCAAAAAATCCTGACTGCACACCAACAATGAGCATTAAATCCGAAACCTCTACCAGGTACCTAGGGATCATTAAATTCTGATTCAGGAAAATATTTCACATCATACATATAAAAACCTTTACTATATTGAAACTGAAAATGTGATGCCGATCCAGTGACCTAAGGGTCTCAAAGTATAATAATGAATTAATCTATTATAAATTTGGTGGTGACTGCCGACTGGCGTCTGGCGGCCTAGACCTTGAGGCTTGAAAGTGGCCTTCCTTTTCCGTTGACTCCGATCCTCCAGATGGAAATGATAAAAGGATCATTTTTATCTTATTTCATATGAGCCAGTCAGCAAAGTGGCTATCCTGTTTCAGCATTCACACACACAATAGTTGACTGTCAGTCTGTCATGCTGTCAGTGTTGTGAAGTAACGAACGAGTTGAGTTTTGATTATAAATTGTGATTTTATGTAAAGGACTGGAAAATGAATGTGAAAACTATGGAAACATATTGGCAGAGTATTGTCACTTACTATCAGGACATATGGATAGAGAATACATTCAAATTAATAAGAAATGCCAAATATCAAGGTACTCAATCACTGATAGCAGTGGACTATCATATGTTTTAATGTCAATTATATGAAAGTTAAGACTGAAACTACCTTTTACCTCATCATACCTAATGAGAAATTGTGTGAAGAAAACATTCACAGCCTCTTTGAAGCACTTAGACCACTAAAAAACAAAAATTTTCACGTAAATATGTTCTGTCTCCTTCCCTCAAAACATCATATCGGATGGCGCCACTTTCGTCGACAGTTACTTATCTACACGCAAATCGAGGAAAACGAGATTTGATTGACGATTACGTGTTTCCAAATTTAAAATCACAGCATATTCAAACTTTTCAGTGTACCTATTAACATCTAAGTATAACTAAAACGATAAACACTTACCTTCAACACAAGGATGACGACAACCACGCGACCGGAGACGTCGCGACGAAATAAACAAACGGCGCCGCCAAATGAAAAATATTCTCCGATATGGGTAATGTAAAATTGAGTCGCAATCATTTGGGTAGTATGAAAAATGCTCTTTCCAACAGAACCCTAGTAAAAAACGTGAATGGACAAAAAATAACTTTTATTTCGACATAAATATTGGCCTGTTTTTAAGTCATCCTGGTATGCCGTACGATTTCGACCTATAAATTGGTGTTCCCCCAATCATTGAAGCTTGAGCAGTGAAAAATATGAAAGCCTAATCTGTTTTGCATCATTAGTGATTCTCCAAGGGTGTTGCCATTTCTCCCTGGGTGTTGCGAGTTGCTTTTGCAAAACGTGTTCCTGAAACGGCTCAATTTTTTGAGCCCTCAGCATTACGCCTATGGGAGCCTCTGACGTCACACGCTCAATATTTTGAGCGCTCAATAATTTGAGCTTTTCCCCCTTGTGCGTGGGACTGAGATGCGGCCACAGAAGCAAGCCTAAAAAATCCATTTGAAATATTCAAAGTTTGACCAGTAGCGATAAATGCCGCCTCTACAACTTTTCGCTGAACTTTGGAAAAATTCCTGTCGACACTTGTAGCCCCTGTCCAGTTAGGCAGATGCCCTTCTTCCTCTGCGTGAACAACAAAGGCGTTCGAAACTCTATGATTGCGCATGTCTCCCTTGTGCTCGCGAACCCTCGTTTTTAGACCCCTTCCCGTTTCCCCGTAGTACACGCGTGGGCATCCACCGCAAGGAATTTTATATACTACGCTATCTCTGTTTGACTCTCTTTTGTTTCGCTTGAAAATTCCGCCTATTTTCTGTCCTCCTTTTGCAACAATGGATAGGGCCGGGCCCACCAGCTTTTGTACCTGTTCAGTAAGAGGGGAATATGGGGCTATCACCGACAGTGTATTCTGCGCGTTCCTTTCAGATACGTCAGCTACCCTAGTGTTAGATTGAGACCAAATCCGTTTAGCTTTGTCCCTGAGGGATATGAGTTTGGCCAAAGGGTATCTCAGCTGTAAGAATGTATTGGTTATGTAATCAATTTCTTCCTGTAGCAGGTCTTGTGAGCAAATTCGAAGGGCGCGCAAGAAGAATCCGATAACGACCCCGGACTTTAGGGGAAGTTGGGGCAATGCCGGAGTTGGGGCAAAGCCGAAATTCGAGATATTTCGAAAACCGTAAAACATGGATGCCACCTGTCAGTGATGCTCTGAAGCTTAAGTGACTACAATTATCGCATGTTTGTTACGAGTCGTCATTCGGAATACTTCGACTGTGAGGGCGCCAAGAGCGTTTTCAAGGTACGTTTCCCTTGTACTACATGCGCCTTTGAAGCTGCATTTTTTACTCATTATGCTACCGTTTGTCTGGCCAATTCGGTCTTGGTAATCTTTAGCATGTCTTTGCATAAGTGTGCTGCCTATTTGAAATTTATACAGCACGTTGAAAAGTTATGGGCCTGCAAATGAAAGTATGGCTGGCTGGGGTAATGCCGAAAACGTGCGATTACGCACGTGTTAAAAGCACGCTACGTGGGCTTTACTGCTGTAGAATAGCAACGCGTATTTTTAGTCACACAAAATACACCTTTAACCGACACAACGGCCTGTTACCTATAAGGAATGATTTACCTGGCATTTTCTTATTATATCACACAATTATAACTTCCAGTGTGCACCGCGTCCTCAAGCTCTTGAAACGTGTGTCAGCTTTGATGAATTCTGGATAAAGTTTGAGATAAAATGGCAAAACATCAATGTCGGCATTCCCCGTAGATCATTTCTCCCATTTTCGGCTTTCCCCGCAGTCCGGGGCAACGCCGAAAAAGTCACTTCTTTGATATTTTTAGTTTGTGCGCTTAACGGTATGCGAATTCATCAAATGCGCCTGGTATGTTTGAAAGGCAAAAGACTGGCCTCTCGAATGATGCCAACAAGAATAGCGTATGTTGTCTACCTTGCGTGCTACGGGCGTCAGAAAAAAAAAGTCTTCGGCGTTCCCCCAACTTCCCCTACCTTCTGACTGTGTCCCGAGAAATAATGTATGAGGTCATTCCTATTAGTGGGCTTACGGTAGACCGTGAATTTAAGTGAGTCGCCCGTCCGTAACAATAGAGTGTCTAAGAATGGTAACCGGCCGTTCTCCTCCTCCTCGACAGTGAACTGAATCGCAGGATCCACTAAGTTCAGTTCCCGAAGTAAGTCCGTAAGGTTAGTGTCTATGGGGACACAGGAAAGTACGTCATCGACATACCTCACCCACAGGTTATGTTCTCCTAAGATACTCTTGTAATGGTCCACCTCCATTGTTTCCATGTAGAGACACGCTAAGACGGCACTAAGAGGGGAACCCATCGCTAGTCCGCTAACTTGTCTAAATTCTTTGTCGTCAAAAATAAAGGAGTTGAAGTTTACACAGAGTCGAACCAGAGTCAGGAAGTCCCTTTTGGGATCGGAAGATCATTCGGAAGATTCAGTTCACTGTCGAGGAGGAGGAGAACGGCCGGTTACCATTCTTAGACACTCTATTGTTACGGACGGGCGACTCACTTAAATTCACGGTCTACCGTAAGCCCACTAATAGGAATGACCTCATACATTATTTCTCGGGACACAGTCAGAAGGTAAAGTCCGGGGTCGTTATCGGATTCTTCTTGCGCGCCCTTCGAATTTGCTCACAAGACCTGCTACAGGAAGAAATTGATTACATAACCAATACATTCTTACAGCTGAGATACCCTTTGGCCAAACTCATATCCCTCAGGGACAAGCTAAACGGATTTGGTCTCAATCTAACACTAGGGTAGCTGACGTATCTGAAAGGAACGCGCAGAATACACTGTCGGTGATAGCCCCATATTCCCCTCTTACTGAACAGGTACAAAAGCTGGTGGGCCCGGCCCTATCCATTGTTGCAAAAGGAGGACAGAAAATAGGCGGAATTTTCAAGCGAAACAAAAGAGAGTCAAACAGAGATAGCGTAGTATATAAAATTCCTTGCGGTGGATGCCCACGCGTGTACTACGGGGAAACGGGAAGGGGTCTAAAAACGAGGGTTCGCGAGCACAAGGGAGACATGCGCAATCATAGAGTTTCGAACGCCTTTGTTGTTCACGCAGAGGAAGAAGGGCATCTGCCTAACTGGACAGGGGCTACAAGTGTCGACAGGAATTTTTCCAAAGTTCAGCGAAAAGTTGTAGAGGCGGCATTTATCGCTACTGGTCAAACTTTGAATATTTCAAATGGATTTTTTAGGCTTGCTTCTGTGGCCGCATCTTTAGTCAGGAGAGATTATGATTTGTGAATTGTTTCTTTGTGACCTGTTTGCAGACAGGAAGAGTTACTACGAAGAATTGCCCGCGCTGTTACACATCCCATGTTCTCGTAGATAAATGTGTGTCTTTTCATTACCCTTGAAAAAGTTATAATAAACGAAACGTCGGGTAATTTTTGTTGTAATATCTTGCATATTTATGAAATAATCGTCACATTACAAACTCAATATGCAGGAGAGCCAGGCTGTTTCCACTTAACTTTCAGTTTTTCTCAGACAGTTTTTGTTTTTGTTTTGTTGGGTTAGGCCCTTTCGGTCGACAAGACCATTGCAGAGCCGGAAGGATGATAGGAATTAGGGGGAGACATTGGTCTGGGCAGGCACCCTAGTGAGTCGCCGGGGCTGAGCCCGTCCAGAGGACAGGCCACCCAGCCCCAAGGCACTCACTGCACCCGGCTACGGGGTGCGCTCCCTCAGGAGCAGCGGTGCCGCTCCAAGGGAGCAGCCCGCATGAGATAAAGTTGCCTGTCCAGCCCGGAGGGGGTTGCGGCTCGGAGGAGAAGGATTTCAGTATCCTGAGGATAGAAGCACGGATAGGTGTGATCAGACAGTTGCTGCGACCGACAAATTGAAGCTCCATATGTAACGGTTCGTTGTCCGATTCATGTGTCTTCAGGCTGGGTGGCGGTCACCCCGGCCGAGGACCGCTCTGGTGGCAATCACAAGGAGCTGAAGTTCACGGCGCACACGCCAGGTGGCGCTGGTGTGTTCGTTCGCTCGCCGCCCGTGCTGCCGTACGCGGTACGGCTGCGGGGTCGCCGGCAGCGCGACTCGCCAGCGCACCGGGTCGGCGAGCTCTACCAGCTGAGGGAGGCGCGGCGGTGACGATCGCGTCATCGGACCGTCATCAGACCGCCATCGAACAGTCATCCGTCAGCCGTCAGCTGGTACAGGGAAGTCAAAACTCGGCGGAAATGGTGATCCCGGCTATCGGTTTCCTGGTTGGGGCCCAGTTACGCAAAGCCTATTGAGACTGCTTTAATGCTTTGTGAGCGTTGTTTGTGTGTGGAAAACCACCACCGATGATTGTTATTAATCTTCCTGTGTCCGATATCGCAGAAGGAAACAACAAAGTTGAATGGCTGTTGTGAAAGTGTGAGTTCATACTTCCATGAGGTGCTCTGGGTCCCTAGAAGCCGCCAGTTGTTTTTGTACAGGTGTCATACGTATTGTTTCTCATTCGATGATGTTCATTCATCTAGTCTAGTCCTCATATTTGCCTCAAGCCGGCGCACATTAGTCGACATTGTGTGATACTCAGAATAGAAATGCCATGCGGTTTTACGACGCGAGTTGAGTGTTTGTTTTGGAGGGCTTCCGACAGCTAGTGGCGGCGTATCTCGGTAAGCTGATGTTTTGGAGCGATATTGGAAGCGACGAGGCGCTCACTTTCCGTTCTGGAAACGACGGATTTAACTTCAGCGCCGCCCGGTCATCTGTCACGATTCATCAATCATGAGCACACCTGTGCAAAAATGCGTCTCTAAAAATATGTGTCGTTAGTTGCTTCTGTTGAGACTTGAGAATCATTTCTGCTCGGAGGAGTGGGCTTAGTTCGACCAATCATATCCCAATGAGCACATATTCCGTGTCTCTGAGATTAGATTCAGTCGATTCATAAGTGACTGATTAGTCTGCGGTGGGTGACGGCGGTGGTCTGTCAGTCACGACAGGCTGGTCCTGTGACGTCAGCGGACCCCATGAACTCGCTGTGTCGTGATTTGCTCGGCGCCACCGGCCGGAAAGGCGCCCCGAAAATCACCTAGCGCCGGGTGCGTTCGCGGAAAATCCACCCCTGCGGTCAAAAATGGCGTGAGGGTGACGTGATGGCTCTGTGCCGTCCCATACGCCCCCCCCCCCCTCCGGATTTGAGAGGTACATACGGGTGATTGCGGTTTGCTGGCGGAGCTGCATCATTGACCGTCTAACCAGCTGTAAAAGATGACGTTAGCTTTTCATAACTGCTGAGAGACGAGGGTTTCGCTATCGCATTCCAGCAGATTTGATCAATGATGGTTACGCTGGTGCTCATATGTTGAAACGGAAATCCTTCAATACAATGCTGAATTGAATCATTTTTGTATGTGACATGCGTCGGCTCGTACGAATGTATCTACTCTATAGCCGCATTGCACGTTTCTCGAAATGTTGCTATAACTTTGTCACATAAGTCGCCAATGGGTCATTAGAAAGCGTAATTGAATTACCGCTACATTAGCCATTTACCTCAACGTCTGCGTATCATCTTTCAATCGACAGCTTTTCACAAACACCCGGTGTATGTGACGAGCATTGTCCGTCAGTCGTTGATGGGTGTTGAGTATTCTGAGACGCGAGGCGGGACAGACCCGCCACCCATCATCTGCCAGTGCTGTGCTTGCCATGCCTCACGGGCACCACAACCAAATACTGCAGTTATTAGGACCCTGAACTATCAGTAACTGCAAGTCTCAAACAGTCAAACACCACGTGGTGCAACTCGGTGACCTTTGTTTCGCTAAAATGACTCATGACTTCAGCTGTCGCGCTATGCTCCAGGGGCCGTATTCACGTCGATCATTTTCGTAAGAATTTTCTTAAGTTTGACCTACTTCTTAAGTAAATTTTTTTAATCACGTGAACTCCGTTGATAAAAACTTTAGAAGTGTCGACGTGAATACCAAATTATACTTACGAAAGAAAATCGACTTACGAAGTCGACGTGAATACGGCCCCAGGTTGTTACTCAGCGATCTTTGTTCCTGCTTATTGTAGGTACTCGCATGCGATATATGAGCGTCATTCAGTGTCGGTGCATCCGGACCCCAGTCCCCACCAGACACTCGAGTTAAGCTCAGTCGAGTGTTTTCGGCACCGCGCGCGCCAAGTGCCTACATACCTCTGTCTGATAGCTTTGTCGCCGGCTAGGCTGTTGGTTGGTAGCGGCCGGGACATTCGGGTAGTTGCGGGTAGCTCCCCTCTTGTCTGCCTGTCTAACGGGAGAGTCGAGCTTCCCCGGAGTTCCCATTAAATGACACCCTGGGCCCGTCTCCTTACCATCCCACGACCCACAGGTCTATCGGCACCATTCACCTGGCCCGGGCCTCGCCTGTTCGCTGAATCCAGGTCTATGAGCATCAGGCCGCCGCGGCCGAGCAGCCAGCCGGGCTGCGGCCGCTCCTCCGAGCCAGCGACAGCCTATTCCTGGCCGGGCCGACCGGTCGCGCCACTGGGCTGATCAATACAGCACATTTACACACACATACACGGCCGGCCGACCGCAGCCGGCGGCCGTGGTGCACAGCAGTGCCTCCGGAGCCTGCGCCCCGCCCTCTGCCTGCCGAAACTCGGCAGTCGCAGTACACCGCTGAGAATGCATGACATCGTCCGCGGAGGGGCCCACAAAGGCCGTCCTGCACCGCTGGATGGAACAGTGACTGCCAGCGGGGTTCACGGCCAACTGACGAGCGTGGAAAACTGGGGCGAGTCGCCAGACTCGGCGAAGGGCACGCTCACTCGAGTGGAACTCCGGGGGCCCCGGTGCGGCTGGATGCTCGGTCCCGAGTCCCAACCCAAGGAATGTTTTGGACGGGTACCGTAGGTTGAGATTTGAGCATTGATGTTCGAAAGAATCTCAATAAAAACCTGTCACCGTTACGAGTTACAGCTCCCGAGCAATGATCGAGCCAGAGTATCGGGATGAAGCATCGATGAATAGGTATTAGTCTTTAGTTTTTGTCCCTGATTTCACAACTGCCCAGTGTACTTCAGGCTATATCTTCGTCGTCTTAAGGTTGTAAGTGTTGAAGATGCGACCGACTTGTTGGGTAACAAGCCGGCCATGATCGTGTAAAATGGCTTCATCGTAGATCGATTAGTTTCTGAGATATTAACCGGAAATGTATAAGTGCAAAACCTACCGCTTAATCTCGCTAGCTAGAGCCGTACCTTCATGTAGCCTAGCCTTTTGTTTTCGAGACTGTTTGCTGTGATTTGACCCGACTATGAGACATCGATAAAATATAAGAAATCGATTTGCAGCAAATTAGGTACCGCTTCATGACCTTGAGAACTTCCGTCAACAAAGTGCGAGATGCGGCGAGCGGAAGTAGGTAAGTTTGAAGCGCTCAGTAATGATTCTTGGATAATATTCGATTTAAGAACACTAAAGGCGAGTTGATACTTGATTAACTAACCAGCTATTTCGCTGGACGTTGTAATATCGTGTTGTGCGTCGTGATCTCGTGAGCTACATGTAAATATTCGGTCATAATTATGCGCGTCACAACCGTCGCAACTGAAACCGAGTTGAGATTGGGAGGATTGGGATATGGGATATGGGATATGGGACGCCGGATGGGCTCAGGTTGTGATAGAAAATATGCTTTGGTGCCAGGGAATCTGCGCCTATTCCGATTTTATCAACTTTCAACATGCCTATTTTCCTGTCTATAGAGAACACCTTTTATAACGTTGACTATACTTTTTATCTGAATTTTGCAAGAGAACGCACTTTTGGCCTCTCGTAGCACTGTGTCGATGTGGAAGCGGGACAGAACTTCTCGGTTTCCCCCAAAGTATCCACCGCTGCACTACCGGTCATGCTTATCGGTTATCCATCGCCAGGTCGAGGTGGGTGACAAGATTCTTATATGGCACGTATTTACCAATGTTGATACATTGGTCTTTTGAGGCGACTTCTGACATACGAGACATAGCGATCGCAGCTTTTCTTTCATTGTGACTGCTACCTACACGGCATGGCGTGGGGCATGAGGTTGCTTATGACCATTCCATCTAGGTCACAGGCGATTCTTCTCGTGCGGGTTGAAAGCATGGGACATGGTTGAGTTGATGGTCCCCTCGATGAGGAGCACATGAAGGAAGAAGTCCCTACTGTGGACTGCTTCCTTCATCAGAACGGAGGTCAAACACCATGGAAATCCGAAAATGCAACATTTGGAACTTCTCGCATGAAACATGAAAACATGCAAACTTCGCTTTGGCGTTTGAGCTTTGTGTTTCAGTTGTCATGGCTCAAATGACCTCTACATCAGCCGACCTGGCACCTCCACTTCTCTTTTTCGAGTTGTCGACTGAAAGAGGGCCTGGTCGTGCGCACAAAATTGCATTGACGTGTGAAATACCGAATACGCATCAGTTTAAAAGTCCGCAGCTGAAAAAGTGTCTGCGATGGTATGTGGTCGTACGATCGTACGATCCCCATATCTTCCTCAGTCACCGGCCTGGTCCGAAACAAGCTATCGCGCCGGCCGGCGGCTCTGCGGCTCGCTCTGTCTCCAACCGTGGGCTTCACAGACTCTTATTTTAGCGCCCTTCTGAAACACCTTTTTTACACGACTGGGGCACAGCCAGGGATGCAAATTGAGTGTTTTGACTGTGTCCTTAAGTTGTGATGAAGATTTCACCCGTTTGTCTGTGTGCCGCAGATAATTTCCACTGTCTGTTTAGTTCGTGCCAACGCTCGGTAACTGCGCAGCGCTGCCGGGCCGGCTCGGCACGGCCGGCTAGCCGGAGGCGGTGCCGCCGATCGAGCGAGCGGGCGAGCGCCGGGCAGCAACCGGCCGCGGCGCCGCGGTGCTCCCAGTCGGGATTACATCGTTGGCGGAGGGGGTGCATAGCGCGGAGACCTGGGGTCTCACTGTCCACCAGCCGACAGCGCGCGCGCCTTCTCCGGGACTGGGCACTGACACCTGCCGCTGCTAGAGACACCGGCGTCCCGCTCAGGCTGTGATACCACCAGACGCGTGCCCAACATCTCCGTGTGAACAGCAAACAATGGCTTCGGGTGAGTGCACTGTATGGCTGCCGACCGGCACCTTCAGAGTTTTCTTGAAATGCACTAACCTACTGTTTTGCGGTCTACGTCATGTACGCGTGCTTTCGCTGTGATTGAGGGTTTCCTTTGTTTACGTTTTGGCGGCTGTCTAGCATCCCAGTGATGTTTATTTACATCGTCAGGCAATCTTTGGCCTCAGAGTCAGACCACCTGATCCTTACTGTTACCCTCGGGCCCAGGCAGAGGTTCAACTTTAAACCGTTAAAGCTGATGTCAATATTGAGTGTGTCCGCTGCCTCTGACAAGATTCGGAAGGCCGCCTGCCGCCCACCGGCTCCGTCAGCCGAGGGCATGGCATTGCTCAATGCTCATGGCTGATTAATCGGCCCGATGAACGGGAATGAATGGTAGCCATCCGTGCCAGGACTACATTCAGCTTCCATCGGACATCTGAAGCCCCTGTCGCATACCAGAGGGACTGGAAGTTTCGGGACTCGGCGTCGCGGCGTCCATCGATTGCCGGCGGCGTCCGGCGGCGTCCCCACTTCCTTTGTTTACTGGGGCGGCCGGCGGCGTCCCGTGCCGAGCGCTGCCGGGCCCTCTGGGGAATTGTGGTACGGTGCTGTATGTTATGTGACTGTGGATATGAGGGACTAGCTGATGTGGCATCTGTTCCTCGCACGGCAACGTTTCCTTAGTTTGGTTTGACTCATTGGAGGCTGGAGTCTGTCATCTGATCTGAGACTGGGTGGTATTCCTGTAGCTGAGTGGTTCTGGACTGACTGGCAGGCGGCCGGTCGTGTTTTCACGCCTGCGCTGCACTCCGATTCCGTATTTATCACTGGGAGCCGGCCGGCACGGAGCGGGGCCGCCGGTCACACGGCCGTCACGCCCATTGTTTTCCTCTATTGTTGTGGCCGACTGGGCGGCACCGGACCGCGGCCGGCGGGGTCACCTTGATGGTATCGGGTGGCGCGGCGGCGGTGGCATCGGATGGCGCCGCGCCGCAATATGCCGTGATCTCGGCCGGGTGCGTGTCAGCGGTGTGCCGACGGGCGGTGACTCGGGGCCGGGACCGGGAGGTTCATTGTTGGAGCCGCGGGCCGACCCACAGCGAGTCGCGGGCCGACCCACAGCGAGTCGCGGGCCAACTCCCTAGCTGTCGGTTTGTGGGCCGACCCCGGTTGCCGGGTGCGGTCCGCCGCCGCAGCCGTGACAACTGATCGCCAACGGGAAACCGGCCGGTGTAATTTTAGGGCCAGTCAGTGGCGTGTCAAAGGGGTAGTGACAGGGGCG